TTTGTCTTTGAGAAAAGAAGAAGTCGTCTTTTCACATTGTCTCTCATGATTGTCTCTTGTGTGTTTCCAGCTTTCTCATAGGGTCCATCGATTTTTTTTGCAGCCATGGATTATGATCTGGTAACATCCAAATGAAACTTTTGTCTTTTTTTTCTTTCTTATACTAATTAACAAGAATCAATTCTCATTTCTTGAGTTTTTTTTGCTTAGATTCGTTCCAAGAAGAGTACTATCAAGAGAGCAGAATCCACCAAATCACATCTATGGTGGTGGGATAGTCATATTGGTCACAAGAACTCAAAGTGGCTCGACAATAATCTCGATGGTGAGTAGTTAAATCATGTGTTCATTAGCTTCTTATGGCTAACCAAGTTAGGTGAATAGTCTTTTTCATAATGAATGTTATTATTGTGTGGTTGTGATCATCAGAGATGGACAGGAGCGTGAAAAGGATGGTCAAGTTAATAGAAGAAGATGCAGATTCGTTAGCCAAAAAGGCAGAGATGTATTACCAAAAGAGACCTGAACTTCTTACCCTTGTTGATGAGTTTCACCGTATGTACCGTTCTCTAGCCGAGCGTTACGAGAACATCACTGGAGAGCTGAGGAAAGGCTCTCCCTTAGAGCTTCAGTCACAGGGCTCTGGCTTCTCTGACGTCTCCTCTGACATCACCACTGAGCTTAATAGGTTAAGCCGTCCTCCTTCTCGTCGTGCTCCTGGTTTTGACTACTTCCTTGGCTCTGGAGGAGGACCTTCATCTGATGTTTATCACAAAGATGGAGATGATTCTGCTTCTGTTACAGATTCTGAACTTGAGTCTGATGAGTCGTCTGTGACTAGTTACCCTGGTTATGTCAGCGTTGGCTCTGACTTTCAGTATTTGACCAAGAGGGTCGCTGATCTTGATGTTGAGCTACGTGAAGCTAAGGAGAGACTAAGGATGCAGCTTGAAGGAAACACTGAGAGCTTGATGATGACAAGGGTGAAAAGTGAGTTTGTTGATTATCCTGCCAAACTTGCTGCTTGTGAGCAAGAACTGAGAGATGCAAACGAGAAGATACAAAGCTCAGAAGACCAAATCTACATGTTAAAGAGCCAGCTTGCTAGATATTTGCCATCAGAGTTGGATGATGAGGAGGTAGCAGCAGCTTCAACACAAGACATGGATAATGAAACTTTGTCCGAAGAGCTTAGAATTACAACCCTGAGGCTTCGTGAGGCAGAGAAAGAAAACGGGAAGATGAGAAAAGAAGTTGAGAGAAGCAGGTGTGATGATGCAAAGCTCAAGAGCCTGCAAAGCCTGCTTGACTCGGCTCAGAAAGAGATTGCAGCGTGGAAAAGCAAGTCTACTGCAGATAGAAGAGAAGTTGTGAAGCTGCAAGATAGAGTCTCCATGATGAAATCGAGTTTAGCTGGTAGAGATCATGAGATCAGGGATCTAAAGACAGCTTTGTCTGATGCAGAAGAGAAGATATTCCCGGAGAAGGCACAGGTTAAAGCACAGATAGCCAAGCTGTTGGAGGAGAAAACACGCCGCGATGAGCAATTCAAGGAGCTGGAAGCCCAAGTGCGTTATCTTGAAGATGAGATAAGAAGGGTGGTTAATGAGAAAATGGAAGAGGAAGAAAGGCTGAAGGGAGAGATTGAAGTGCTGACAGTGGAGAAGGAAGATAAAGAGAGATGCATAGAGACAGTAACCAAAAAAGTGAGTGAGCTAGAATCAGAGATGAGTCTACTTGGAAATGAAATGAAAGCAAAAGAGAATAGGAACATAGAGATGGAGAAGGAGGTGGAGAAGCAGAGGAAGGAGCTAGAAGAAGTAGCTGAAGAGAAGAGGGAAGTGATAAGACAACTCTGTTTTTCACTGGACTACTACAAAGGTGAGTGTAAGAGACTACGCGATGACTTTTCAGGGCATCGACCAATAAGACCATCCTCCATTGTCGCTTCTTGATTCAGATTTATAGCATATATACACATTGTAACTTTGTTTATGTTACTCTTTCACACATAGAGAGCTGTTTTGGGTTTGGTTTGGTAAAAAGAAAGTAAAAAAAGCTCAAACGATTTGCGAAAAGTTTGTGTTTGACATTTAGATATGCATTACATAGTTTGTGTGTTTGGAACTAAAATAAAGCAGATGACATTGTTAAGAGTTTACTGTTTATGACCTTTGGTGCATTGCTCACATACATATATATAAATAAGAAGAAAAACAAGAGTTTCATTTCACTTATTCCGACCAATCGACATGAGTAAAGTGGGTGTGCTCTGTACAGCTAACAACCCAGAAGAGAATGCTTACTTGAGACGCTCACCAAAATCAAACTTCACCAGGAAGCATAGTATCTACCGGACCAAGATCACAGAAGGCGATGCCCTGAAACATACATCCATGAAGCAACTAAGGTTAGCTTCTATTAAAACTGGTTTTATTTGAATAAACCAAGACATATACATACTTCTCCAGTGAGGTGTGCAACACATTGCTTCTCAGCCAACAGTTCCGCTTCCGACTGCAATGTTTTCATGTCTCAGTTTCAGGAATCTAAACAAAAGACCAATCTTTAAGAAGACAATACCTTGGCGATTCGTTTACGAAGGTAGTCATCAATTTCTACATCCTTGACAAGTTCATAATCTCCATCCCCCTGGACACAAAACACAATTTTGAGAGTTTCGACTAGAGAAAAACCTTTTAAGTATTAAGGACAGAATATACCTTTGACCGGCATGGCATGCTGAAGACGAGGTCCTCAGCAATACCATAAGGATTTCCATTTGTGTACACCTAAATGAATTACATTAACACAACCATATCAAAGTCTGAACCAATCTATCTTGTTGTTATCATTTATCAAAATGAAAGTAAAAAGAAGATGTACCCCAGTTGAAAACCAGTCACCCTCCGGAGTAGGATTCACAAGAGACTTTATAGCATCAACAATGGAAACAGCGGTAGAAGCAGCAGAAGATCGACCCCATTTTTGAATTAGTAAGCCACCTCTCTGTAAAAACAAACGCAAATGCAACTTACTCAGCCAATAGTATTATCTCCCATTGCAAAAATCATCACAATATCATAGGAAGCGACATGTTACCTTCTGAACACTCTCAGTGAATCCTTCTTCTAACCATTTGTGATCTGTAATAACCTCCTTCACCGGCAGGCCATTAATTCTTGCATTCAAGAAGTCTGGCACCTGTTTCACCTCATGGAAAGTAAGAGAAACATCCCAAGATATAGAGACACAACAAATGAAATTAGAGCAAGTTAAGGCAAACCTGAGTGGTGGAGTGATTTCCCCATATGGTCATATTAGAGACTTTGTCATAGAAGACGCCAGCTTTAAGAGCAAGCTGCAAAAAGAAATTGTCAATCATATGAATGTAAAAAACTATATAAAAACATTATAAGTGTGAAATATGGTACCTGGCATTTGGCCCGGTTCTCATCCAACCTCGTGAGGGCATGGAAGTTCTTTGCAGGAATGTTGGGGGCATTTTTGAGACAAATCAAAGCGCTGAATAGAAGAGTACAAAGAACTATACATAAGATGTTGAACGTTGATTAAGAGATGAATAATAGCAAGGAATGTAGCTTACTTGGTGTTGCAAGGATTCCCCACAACAAGGACCTTGACGTTAGGAGAAGCAACCGCGTTAAGAGCTTTGCCCTGCTCAGCAAATATCTGTCCATTGATGTCCAACAATGCAGCACGTTCCATTCCAGGGCCTCGTGGCTTTGCACCAATCAAAAGAGCCCACTCCACATCTTGGAACACTTCATATGGATCTGTTCCTATATCAACTTCTCTCAACAAAGGGAACAAAGAATCCTCGAGTTCCATTGCAACACCTTCGAGAGCTTGGATTGATCTCTCTGATCCAAGAAGTTTCAAAGCAATGGGTTGGTCTGGTCCAAACACTGCACCTGAAGCAAGCTACATCCAAATAAATCAAGGTTACATAAGATAAAGATACAAGACCAATGATTACTATGGAACAACAACTAAAAACGAAAACAACTTACTTTGAAGAGAAGGTGGTTAGAAATCATGCCTGCAGCACCTGAAACTGCAATACTGATCATCTTCTTCCACGATTTCGTCTCCTCTTCCTGCAAACACAAACACACATGACATCTCAAAACTAAAGAACATTGCAGATTTAAATTAAAAACAGTTGTTCATATACTATCAAATCCATGTAAAACAGATGATTATCTCCACTCTCAAGACATGATTAACTGAAAACAGAGAGGGAGAGTAAAGATTACAGCTTTAAGGTCATAGGTAAGGCAGAACACTCCATAACACTCTTTCTTCGTCTTCACCGACCCATTATCTTGAACCGCTACAGGTGCTTGGTTACTTTTACACCATAGATTCAAAAAAAAAACAAGCATCTGATCAGATAAAGGTTCAAACTTTAATCTTTAAAAAAAGTAATTAGAGACTCACTTCTGAGAAACAGAGCATGAGATTTTGGAGGTGGGAGTAGCGTGGAGAGGTGGAAGAAGAAGATGACGAAACTGGTTTGAAAGATGCAACTTGGAAGAGAGACGAAGCTGAGACGAAGAGTTGAGAAACGGCGACGTCGTTTTGGGAGTTGAAAGCTCTGCCATGGCCATTATTATCGCAAACTGTGGAGAGACACAGAAACAGAGAGAGCGCGCCAAGGCAGAGAAGAGAGAGAGGAGGATTACGGTAATCTATGTGGATAAGGCTCAGGTAACGACACTTGTCAATTATTTTGCCATCCTACATCGAATATCTTACTTGACTTCAAGCCCATCTAAGGCCCATGGACTTAAGGCTTAAAGCCCATATTAAGGCCCATTATACATTAATTTGAAACCGTTTCGTTTTCTGACAAATATCTGAAACCGCTGTTCGGAACTATTCATCTTCTCCGGCGAAATTTCAAAAAAAAAAAAACAAGTTAATTTTGGGAAACCAAACCGAAAGGTGCAATTTTGATGGCAGAAGTGTCGACAATGGAGGGAATCGAAAAATGGATTGATGAATTTGTCATCAGCCGTCAACACAATCCTAGGGTTTCTCCTCCTACTAACCTGAGATTTGGAGATTCCGACGATTACTTAAAGCTAAAGGTATCTTATGTTCTGACGAAAATCTCTGATTCCTTGATCCGTAGTAACGTCGACGAGGGGACGCTTGACCTACTCGAGATTCTCGAGAAGCTTCAACGTTCGGTACTCACTGAGTCTCACAAGTGTGCTTATTGCTGGACGGCTGCTGAGTGCACGGTTAGATTCATGTGGCCGTTGGATCCTTCGGAGGGTTTGTTCACGGACGCTGTTGAGAGGATATGAACGAAAAAGATTGGGGTTTTGAAAGAGAGTGGGAGCGGTTTAGTGAGCGATGAGTTGTTGAAATGGGAAAGTGATTTGAAGAAGGCTGTTGAGGATCCTGAGATGTATAAGATGATTCGTGAGAGTAACGTTAGGTACAATGCCATATCTTTATTAACTCAGCTTGGGAAAGAGCATTGGGCACTACTACTTGGGAGCAGAGAGGTTTTAAATGGTGTTGGTGATGAAAAGACGGAGCGTTTGGAGAGTGAAAACATTGAGCGTGGAGGTGGTGAAGGAGAAAAGGAGAATGGGGACTTTAGAGATGTTGAAGGAGTGGGGTGTCTGGAGAATGACAAAGAGAATGAACAACATGCATCAGACGAGGAGGGGACAATGGGTGCACAAGAAGACGAGGAACATGAGTCAAGTTTTGATAAAGGGGACCAAATTGCTGCTCGGGAGCTGAAGGGTTACTTGTTAGAGATTCAACGACGAATCGACCCTTCTACTAGGCAAGTGCAAGAACCTAACAATGCAATCGATCACTCTGTAAATTTCAATCCTCAGCCTTCAAGGGTTAATAGGAGTGGAGCAAGCGGTCAAGACTATATTGAAACACCGGTGAGTATTAGTGAATTTTCCTTCAAGTTGATCTGGAAAAGTCTTGCTCTTTGGTTCATGAAGTTGTGGTTTTAATTGTGAAGCAACAGGATAATGCAAGTGAGAAAGGTTCGAGGAGTCAGGGAACATGGTCTGGAAGAGTTCGGCCTCGTCTATCTAACCTGTTGAAGAAGACAAATTCCCCTGTCAGAAGGACAAACAAATACTGGACGCCTGAAGAAGTGGAAGCTCTGAGGGAAGGAGTAAAAGAGTATGCAACACTCTTTAGTCAAGTCCCATACTCCATTATTAGTAACGCAGTGCAGCAGATACATCCGAGTCCTCATCAATTTTCAAAAGCTGGGCTTAACATTGTCATTTTGTTGTTGATATTGGTGTGTCAGGTATGGTAAATCATGGAAAGCTATAAAGAATGCAAATCCTACAGTACTCGGTGACAGGACTGAGGTGAGCGCATCCTTTTGCTTACATTCATGCTCATTAGTTACCTGAATTATGTTATATATGCGAAGTGTGAGTGATATAAAAGGGTTGTAACTTGGTAGGTGGATTTGAAGGATAAATGGAGGAACTTAGTTCGGTATGGGTAACGACTCTTGGAATCCTTCCCTATGGGTTTTGAATTGCTGTGGAGTTTTGCCTGCGTGACATATTAACTGTGGAGAAGATGGTATAGAAAGGGTCTTTGACATATTGTGTAATTTTAATGAGTATGATAGAATGATATGTTCATGGGACAATTCTGGCTGCAACCTCTGGTGTGGTCAGTGTCAAACATATACGGCTGTTCTTGTTTGGGATATGTTCCATCCTTATCTTCATTTTCCTACCATCTTTGTCTCTCTATCTCTACTTTACCACGTGTCAAGTAACATTTAAACCACAACAAAACAGTAGTCAAATATGCATAAACATATCCATTTTGATTTATGATTGCCAACATTTTGACCTTCCTTAGACACAAAGCTAACTAACCTAAACATATCCATTTTGATTTATGATTGCCAACATTTTGACCTTCCTTAGACACAAAGCTAGCTAACCTTATGAAGACATATATTGGTTAATGAGTATTTGCTGTGTTTATTACAGAACCATGAACTCCATGAAGGCTGAAGGAAGTCGCCGCCAACAAAAAAAAACGAATGTTCAACGGTGATGTCACTATCACTCTATGCTCTTCGACCTCTTTGTCATGTTCCCCACTTATGTTCTGACGACTTTCCCCTTTTCTTGTCGTTTTCTTTTTTTTTCTTAAATTCTTAATTTCAATATATTGCGTTTCTTGTTTCCACCAAACTAATAATGGGTTCCATTGAATCGTACAGTCTCCTCAAGGAACAAAACTCTACCCTCCCCAGTATTGCATTCCCAATAACGCCACACTTTCTCAACTCCTATCATCTTTGCTATTGTGTTTGTGGTTGACACAATCAAACAGGGTATATTCTTTTTCTTCTTTAGCACATATATTTTTTGTAACTATTTTTTAGCATTTTTAGCCATGTGTTTTTCAAAATGGTGCACGTTTGATTATTTTGGCAATGATATGGCTCGAGTATCTTTTTATTAACAACTAAGATTTGTCAAAGCTTTTGTGTTTTTTTTTTTGTTCCAGAAAACTAATATATTACAACTGGGTCAATAAAAATGAAAATAAATTATTATCTGTAATACATGTGCTGCAAGCAACGTTGAGGCTCTTGTCTTTATTCATTATATTATATATTACCAATGGATGATTAAGGCCAGATACTGTTTAACATATTTTCTGCTGACGCTTCTTTGAAGTAGAATAAGAAGTAATAGGAACGACTTTTGGGATCTAGATATAGCTCATCGTCTCAAACATTTCTGGGAGCATCAATCGAGTTTGGGTCAACCATGAGCAGAAGCCAAGTTTTAGAGTACGTAGAAACAGATCCTACGGGTCGTTATGGACGTGTAAGTAGGGATACTTACTCTATGTTCACTAATCAATACCTTTTTGTAACACTTGGTTTTATGCTGGAACAGTTTGCAGAAGTTCTTGGAAGGGGAGCGATGAAGACAGTGTACAAAGCAATCGACGAGATGCTGGGAATAGAAGTAGCGTGGAGCCAGGTGAAGTTAAAAGAGGTTCTACGTTCTTCTGTTGATCTACAGAGGCTCTACTCTGAAGTTCATCTTCTCAGCACTCTAAACCACAAATCTATCATTCGTTTCTACACTTCTTGGATCGATGTTCATTCACATACTCTCAACTTCATCACCGAGTTGTTCACTTCTGGGACCCTCCGACAGTAATTCTCTTAACACCTTTTCTTCTAAAAAGATTTTCTTTGTGTGAACCTGTCCCTTTCTTGTGTAGATACAAAAACAAGTACTTGCGGATAGATATCCGAGCAATCAAGTCCTGGGCTCGGCAGATCTTGGAAGGGCTTGTTTATCTCCACGGACATGACCCTCCTGTGATCCATAGAGACCTTAAGTGTGATAACATCTTCGTTAATGGACATCTTGGTCAAGTCAAAATAGGCGATCTTGGTCTTGCAAGAATTCTCCGGGACTGCCACGCTGCCACTAGTGTCATCGGTATGTAGCCAAAAAAAAATTGTCTGTTCTCACTTTGTCCAAATCGTTTGCTTAAGCCACTTTTTGCTTCTTTTTGCGTTAGGCACTCCCGAGTTCATGGCTCCAGAATTGTACGAGGAGAACTATAATGAACTCATTGACGTTTATTCCTTTGGTATGTGCTTTTTGGAGATGGTCACCTCTGAGTTCCCGTATAGTGAATGCACAAATCCTGCGCAGATTTACAAGAAAGTTGTTGCGGTATGTCTTTGGTATATCTTCAGATATCAGTTGAACCATGCATAAGCGTTGTAATGTTTTCTTTCCAGGGAAAGCTACCAGGAGCCTTTTACAGAGTTGAAGACATCGAGGCACAGAGATTCATCGGGAAATGCCTTGTACCTGCCTCAAAGAGAGTATCAGCAAGAGAACTATTGCAAGATCCGTTTCTCGCGTCTGACGAGTCCTGGATGGTGTACGCAAATGGTGCTATGAATCTGAAGCCCTTCTTGAATGAGAATGAAATGGACAGACTGAAGCTGGAAGATGATGAGTTAGGAAGGACCATAACTGAGGAGCTAGACGCTGAAGATAACAAAATCTTTCTTAAACTACCAATCGGAAATGAAAATGGTAAACATGACTGGTTTGAATAAGCTGATCATTTTGTTATTCGGTCACATAACTGTTACTGTTTTTTTTTTCCAGGTCTGGCGAAGAACGTGTCCTTCTGCTTTGACATCATGAATGATACTTCTATTGATGTTGCAACGGAGATGGTTAAAGAACTTGAGATCACAGAATGGGATCCGGTAGAGATTGCTAAAATGATTGATGGAGAGATCTCTTCTTTAGTACCTGGTTGGAGGTCTGAAGAAGATGATGAATCCCCTCATGATTATCATCGTCACTCTTTTTCCTCGCATTCATCCTCTCAAGCTTCACTCTCTAACTATGCTATTGCTCCAGGCCGTCAAGATTGGCTACAAGGTATGGAAAGTAACACCAGATCCAAGTTTGTAGTGTGTGTGATTCATATGTTTTATACAAAATATAAAAAGAGTTTTTGAGAGAAAAATTAAAAACTGCAGATGATTTTCACGATGAGACGTATTCTCAGGGTTCATCAAATTCAGGGTCTTACTCCAACCTGAACTACATATCTGTAGATGAGCACATCTCCCAACAACCTCCTGCTATGAACAGAACTCACAACGTGACAAGGTTTTGCCCTGAAGAAAGCTATCATCTACATTCAGGACAAGCCAATAACATGTATGCAGCTTCTAGTTCAAGTAACTCAGACAACCGCGTACTTACAAGGAACCGCTCACTTGTAGACGTGCATGGCCAGTTAATGCATCGGTCACTAATAGAAGAGGCTAGAAAAAGAAGGTTGATCAAAACTGTTGGAGACGTTGAAAACGTTGGGTTTCAGTCACCTTATGCTGTTTCCCGGAAGCCACGGAGCTTAAGGCGTTAGCTTCTACTGAATATACTGTACAATGTTTATAGTAATAATGTGGATAAAAACAAACTTGCTGGTTCCAAAAATGTAAAAAGGTTACATGTGTGTTTTTAATAAAGGTTACATGTGTGTTTCAAATGAAACCATGTTTTCTCGAAGGCCTTGATGATTATGTCGTGGTACTCACTTGAGTTCAGAGAAAGATAGCATGCAAGAAGATCTTCCAGGTCTTTTTGTTCCTTCATCTTATTCTCCACGATCATCTCAGTCATGGATTCTCTGAAGTCTTTCTCTGGATCCATTGAAGTCAAAACTATAGCGAAACTCTCTGCCATTTCCTTCTTCATTGGTTGTGGGGACATTCTTCTTCCCTTTGTCTTCTTTCTGGCGATCCGTGGTGAGTTGGTCCGAATCCTTATCCCTGCAGAAGAACTAGCTTTCGGTTTCTTCAGTTTCTTCTGTGTCTTTATCTGAAGAGGTGGTTTCTTTACAGTCTGAACCAGGACAGTACTCGAGTTTGAAGGATCTTCAGAAACATCATCGAGCTTCTTCACGGAACTCTTGATGTCAACTGAATGGGATTCAAGATCATGAGAAAATACATAGTGTTGGTCAGAAGGAGATGATGATGACACAGGATCTGACAAGCTTCCAACGGTGGAATCAGAGACTGCATTTGCAGAGGATGGTTTGGAGCGATGATTACGAGAAGTGGTGAGAGAAGGCTCAAGAATGATTGTATTTGCAGAGGTTGGTTTAGAGCGATGATTACGAGAAGTGGTGAGAGGAACATGAGGGTTGATGAAGGAGGAGGAAGAAGAAGAAAGCTTGAGCCTAGAGGAAGGCTTGTAAACAGTTTTACGTTTGAGTTTTCTCTTGAAAGGAGATTTGGGTGGTGAAGAAGAAGAGCCTTGAGGGTGGAGATAAGGAGATGAAGAAAGACGAAGGCTGTTTCTTGAGGAAGAAGCATCAGTGGAGGAGGAAGTGGAGAGGCGTTTGGGAGAAGGGGGAATGTGGTGTCTGCTACCTCTGCTGATTCCTTTGAGCTTATAGAGCCATGTGTGAGGCATAATATCTGAAAATCTGAACTTGTGAGTCCCCATTTTCTGATTCATCTCTTTCATTTTCTTCTCACAAGACTTTGAACTCTTGTGAAAAATTAAAAACAAGGAGAAGTAAAAGAGAAAACTAAAGATGGTTCAGTTTGGGGTCCACCTCTCTTTCTTTAACTCTTGTTTTGTCTCTTTCAGAACAGATAAGAAAAAGAACAAAACGAAAAAAGTAGTTAATGAATCAAAAGGGGGTTTTACTTAAATTTCGCTCCTTGAAGCATTCAAAAAGCTATAAAGAGTGGCTTCCATGTCAAGACTGATTCCATAAGACAACAAAGCATTTCTTTTGAATTGACAATCATTATCTGCCTGTCCCTTCAAATGACATCTTTCTCCTTCCTTCACAGTAACATAATCTTGTAAAAGAAGCAAAACAAAACGAGCTTATTTATGACATTGTTCGAAAACGCTAGACGCTATACTAAACGGTTTATGAAGGTTTAGTGTCTAGGCGAGTGTTTAGTGCCATCTAAACCGATTTTAAAACATCTATTTTTACAGACGGATCACGGATGAGTGTTAAAGTCTCTACTTACTTGCTAAATTTTTTGAATTAGCTCGTGAGAATTGCATATCAAAAATTTTGTTAGCAACGTTGGAAGAGTTTAATTACATAGTATATTGACTAGAATTCATAATCTAAAAGAAAAAATATATATCAAAACACAGCTAAAGTTAACTTAACACTGATGACTGATCGGATCCGGTAATCATGGATCCCACAATTACATGACGTGAACTCCACACTCTTCTATAATGACGTTAACGTACGATGAGTTTATCAATAACTACACTCCATCAATCCATTATAGGTCCAACAAAAGCCCATTATAAAGGAAAACTAGTAAACAAAAGCCCAATAAGAGACGTCTAACTCCAAAACCTTTAGAGCTATCAACAGCTAAACCCTGAAATCCCCATTTCTACCAAGCTTTTCTCCGATCAAATTCGTCGCACACTCCGCAAAAGGTTTCACCTTTTCACCTTGTTTCAATCATATTTTCGTATCCCTGTATTATGTAAAGCGGAATCGATAGTGTTCATGTTGTTATGGTTCTGGGTTTTCTCCATTTCCATCTCTAGTTGTGTCTCTCTTACTCAAGTGTTTCACTGTCGTTTAATGGCATTAGGGTTTTTTCCTAATTTCTCAGGTGGATAAAGTTTGCATCTCTACATTTGCTTAATGGCTTTTGAGCATAAGCTCAAAAAAAGGCTGAACCTTTCATCTCTCAAATCTAATTCTTCTTACAAAGGAAGCAGTAGATCCACTACTCGCCGAAGTGATGACGACACAAACCCTCGGGGTAGTAGTGAAACTAAGGTATCGTATGTGAAGAAGAAGAGGGTGTACGCCACTAAGGGTGAGCTCAGTGAGAATAATAAGCATGTGAAAGAAGTTCCACGAACCATGTGGGCTGCTTCAAAGACAAAGCAACGGTCTACTTCTAGTTTTAAGACTACTAATGATGTTGGAAAAGTTGCAAGAGGGATGTTGAAAACAAAGTCACCGAGGGGAAATGATGAAAGGTATGATACTCGAAAGCAGAGTTATCGGAAGAGAGATGAGTTGGATAAGAATGGGGATGTGAGCCGAAGGAAAAGCTTTGATGTGCCGTCTTATAAGGCTACAAAGAAGGGATTTGCAGAGAAGAAAGTCTTGGAGGATGGTGTAGATAGTCAGGAGGATCAACCAAGGAAGAGAAAGAGGATACGGCTTGATCCCTATGATACCTCGAATAAAAGAATAGATGATGATGATGTCGTTCTTGATGGTTAGTTATTTTTGCTTTTTCATTAGAACAAAAGTATGGATCAGTTTCACTTAGTGCATCTCCTAACTTGTTGTTTCTTTATCTTAATTTCCAGTAAACCGTAAGGAAAAGAGAAAGAATGATAAAGAGAAGACTGTAGAAATGTCAAAAAATGCACAGTTTCGTGCAATTCAGCCTAGTCAGTCTATCCTTTCCTATGTGGAAGAAAATGTAATTTTATATGACCAGATCTTTGTGGTATATTTGATATTTATATTATCATTACCTCGCTTGTAACACAAATTTTAACGGCAGCTGTTGGGGCGTAGACGCTTGACTGAGCTAAAGAAGGCTGGCTACAACACAGAGCTTCCTGCTCCGTTAGATAATATCCCTCAGTCTACCAGCACTGAGAGAGAGCGTATAGAAGAAAGTGTATGTTCATATTCCTCATGCTCTGTCTCTTAAGACCTAAAGATATTAGCCTGCCTTGCTAGCCTATTAAGCTGATGTTGTAATTGCCTATTTGCAGTTATTTAGGAATAAATTGGAATTCTTTGCCGCTGCAAATGTTTCATCGTCATTTCCACCACCTGATGTACCTGAGATTGCATTTGCAGGTAATGTGTGCATGTTTAGTTACTTAAGACAAGACAGAACTTTATTAAAAGGTGGAGTTATTTGGTATCTTAACTTTGATCAGGAAGGTCAAATGTTGGCAAATCTTCGCTGCTAAATGCTCTTACCAGACAGTGGGGTGTTGTAAGAACATCTGACAAACCAGGACTGACTCAGGTATTCCCTCTTTCTGAGAATCACTCCCTTGTACGGCTTAGCATATCCATGTAATAACGAAGGCTCTGTTCACTGCAGACCATCAATTTCTTCGATCTTGGTCCGAAGGTTCGCCTTGTTGATTTACCTGGTTACGGCTTTGCTTATGCAAAAGATGAAGTTAAGGAAGCCTGGGAAGATCTTGTGAGCATCATCTGCCTCTGACTAGAACTTATAGTGTTGATTTTGCGTGCTCAATTTTGTGTGTTACTAAACGGGTCAATGATTATAATATGTTTAACACCATCGATGCAGGTTAAGGAATATGTATCAACAAGAAGTAGTCTTAAACGGGTATGCCTTCTTGTTGACACCAAATGGGGCATGAAGCCAAGAGACCAGGAACTAATCAATCTGATGGAGAGGTAAAACCATTGTTGCTCCTCTTAGTCATCTCTGTTTATAGTCAAGTGTCCTGAGAGGTGAAAAACTGAATCGCAGATCGAATACAAAGTATCAGATAGTGTTAACCAAGACAGATGTAGTTTTTCCAATGGATGTGGCACGGCGAGCAATGCAAATCGAAGAGGTCTTACTAACTTCTCTAAATGAATATAATCAAGAGATAAAAATGATAGTTTGTTCATCCTCGGCTTATACTAACTTTTTATTTTCTGTAAACAAAATGCAGAAGTTGAAGGCAAACAGATCAATTGTCCAGCCTCTGGTATGTATGAATATGACTTAGCAATGTTTGTGTTTGCATCTCTATGAAGAAACCTAAGAAGGAAGTGATTAATAATTTAATGATTTTTTACAGATGATGGTGAGCTCAAGATCAGGAGCTGGCATAGGAAGCTTAAGAACTGCACTTGCTAAAATTGCCAAGTTTGCAAAGTTCTAGGCTCTCAACACAAGAAACCAATCTCCAAAGCCAGGTCAAGATTGTCTCTTACCCCTTTACATAGTAAAATAATGATCAATTGAGGTCAGCCTTCCCAATAATTACTCGCCCTTTGTTCAACAGAGGCAAAGAAGATCATTCTTTTGATGGCAGAAATTATCGGAGAGAAGTGTGAGGAAGTCAAAATGGTTAAGGATTAGAGGAAGAATGGTTGTGAGTTGTGATGAAGATCCAACTGAAGTTAGTGAAAAATGTGAACAAATCACTTTGGTTTTTAATCTATTTGTTTACTATCTACTTGTTATGTCAAAAGCATCTTTCACTAAGTGAACAATTAGCATAAACGTGGTGTCTCACGTTCTTACAGATTAGGTTGCCAAAACCACTCACTTTTTCAACAAATGAATTTAGAAAAGATAAATAAAATAGTGATGATGTGACGATCGATCAGCCATCTTAATATTAGGTGAATATTGAAATTAGAGATAACTTTCGGGAGTGGCCTACCTACTTTGACACTTCTTCAACCGCTCCCTTTGAATTTTTCTTAATCTCTCTCTCTCTCTCTACTCCTCTTTGTTTCTCTCTCCTCATCGTCTTCATATCAGCTGGAACAAAGCAAACAAAGAGAGGAGATAGAAAAGAAATGTGTCCGTTAAGACTGATCCTCATATTCTTGTCGGCGACTCTTGCTGGGTTCTTTGTCCTCAAGAAGCTCAACACTACCTACGACGATCCTCTCGCCGACCCTCTCACCGAAGCTGATCCCGTCGACGCTGACTCTGACTCTGATTCCAGATTCTCTAAGGTCTCTTCTTCTTCTTTTGCCTTTGATCCTCATTCTCTCTAATTTGGGATTAATTTTTGTTTTTCTCTCTCAGGTGGGAATGGCAATGAAGTCTGGATTTTGGACATGCGTTGACATGGCAAGTGGCCGCTATCTCTGGAACCATCTCTGTTCCAGTTCCGACAAATCTTCTTGAGTTTTCTTACTCTCTCTGTCTCTCTCTCCATTGTCTGTAATTGTGTCTAATTGTTGCAATGGACAACGCCAAATTCGCATATTGCCTCTGTACTATAATTATAGATCTCGTCTTCACCACTAAAATCTCAATAAAGTCGAGTCTTTTTATCAGTTTCTACCTCTTCATATCTCAATTCGAACAGATGATGCTATAGTACTTGTTCTCAAGTGTTTTTTTTGGACAAAGCTTGGTACTTTAACCTGTTAATAAGATAAGAACAAGCAATTAAATGTTCTCAACTCTCAATGCTTTTGTCATTGAGTTCTGGAACGAAACGACTTTATTATATGCAGGAGAAACTCATTTACTGTACGTTTAAACATCAGAGTTAATAAGAAGTTGAAAAAGATAACAAAAGATTCTCAAAACTATAACGCTTCTTCTTCTTCCTGTTGTTGATGTTGTTGTTGTTCGGTCTCTTGGTTTGAATCAGGAATTATCTGCTCATCTTTGTCGCTTTGCCAAACCCATACAATATCCGCAAGAGCAGGCCTGAGATCCTCTTTCACTAATTTCTGATACTCTAGTGTATCTCCATTATCTTTCTTCACTTCCACCATATGAAACGTTGGCGTCACTTGGAATATCTC